TTAAAGTGCCCCTGACACAAAAAATTTTTTTCAGTCTATTGAAAGTACTCATTTAGTATAGTGTTCTAGCGAAAGAATTTTTCGATTTCATCAAAACGAAAACATTTTAGAGCCGTTTGAACACGCAAAATTTGGGCTTTTGGTTGGCAGGCGTCCGTGTTCGAAGGAAACTGGAACGAGCGATTTTTGTTACGTCACGCAAGTGAGTCGCCGTATATTCTATTATTCGACTATACTAGTACTATCAACTCTCGGCGGATATATAGGCAGATTTGTGATCGAAAAAGATATGCCTTTTTACTGTGTTGCAGCTAACTGTGCCAATAAAGCATGTTTAAAAGATGGAATAAGTCTACACAATATTCCATACTTCAATGACGAACACGCGGAAGCTAAAAGACGAAGAAAAGTATGGGTTGATTTTGTATGCGCAAAGCGTACAAAAGACTTCGACTGTATGCTCGGATCTTTGTAGAACAGAGGATTACGAGAGGCAATTCTTTTCGTTGCCGGGGCTCGGCAAGCCTAACTATCTGAAGCTAATAAAGACTGACGATGATTTGCTTTGTTTTGATGATTCAATTTGCAATTGTATTTCGGTTTTGCGGCCAGCTAAAAATATAAATATTTTGTAATACCGAAATAAAAGATGCAAATCTGAAGACACAAGCTTGAAAATAACACTCTAAATAGTGTTTTGGATTCCGGTTCGAATAAGACTATTACGAAAAAGATATGTCCAAAGGGGCCGAAGTAATGGTCGGCTAAAGGTATGGCTACTTTACATTGTATGAATTATGACACCGCTTGACCTCTCAAAGGTCATAAATAGCTATTTGACTACAATTTGACTAAAACTATATTTGACTAAAACTATCATCAGAAATAAGGAGATTTTTTTTCACTGAATCGAATGGTAGTATCATGCACCGAACCGGAGATATGAACCTTGCAAAGTCATAGAACGTCTACGTTAGTAGGAAGCTTATTAAAGATGCGCCAAATCTGAGACATGGCGCGACTAAAAAACAACCGCTAATATAAATGGGAGACTAGTTTTACTTTGTGTTTCTCGTGTCCCTGACTTTGTTTACCAACAACAGTTTTTATCCGTGAAGTGAAACTGTGATAATAGCGGCAGTTTTTCGTCACGTCCGCGTCGCAGATTTGGTAATATTAATGATGTCATTAGTCACTAGAGACCTGACGAAATGCTACAGATCAGCATCTTCCAATACAACATATTAACCAGGTATAAAATTCGCTCCGGAATCATCGGACTGATTCTGTTGATTATCTTGTCGACATGATACTTTATAGAACATAGAATATAAACACTTCAGCGATCAAAACCTTCGAGCTGATTAATTAAAACAGATAACTTAACAGACCATCAAGACTCGACTCACTTGCGTGACGTCAGAATAAATGCTAGTGCCAGACTTCTGTCGCCGACGGCCATTAGCCAAAAATATTTGGATTCGAACGGCTATAAAATTTTTTCGTTTTGATGAAATCGAAAAATTCTTTCGCTAGAACACTATACTAAATGAGTACTTTCAAAAGCCTGAAAAAAATTTTTTGTGTCAGGGGCACTTTAAAAACTTTAGCAACAAATAAAACAAAATGTATAGCCTTTCAAGTGTATAATGATTTATGAACGATTTAAAATGTGTTTTGCTTTCGAAGAAGCGACAAACTTCGTATCGGCGATGCTGGACATACATATAAAACCGTTTACTTTATTATAATGAGCAGAGGACATTTTAAGAAACTCGTTGACAAGTAATGACATCATCTGGCGGAAAATGAACGGTGATAAGGGTTGTTTACCTTCCATTTACATGGAAATTCTGCGGGTGAGTCCATACGGAAAGTAAATGGAACAAGCATATTTCGACGGCCCAACCGGAACTTGTCCTCTAAGGCTTACCGAATGGAACGTTTCAACCGGTGAATTTTGTCCATTTACATCTTTTTTACTTTTTCACCAGTTCCAGGCTCTTCGCGATTGAATTCAAACCGGATGGGGTTTTCCATGTAAATGGTAAACAACCCTTCAGTGCCTTCCGGTCAGTCACTCCAAATGGAAAGCGCATAATCTGAATGGATTTTCTACCCGAAATATTGCTTAACACTGGCACAATTTCAAACCGGATGGGTAAGCCGCAAGAGATGGAATTTTTATCGAGACAAACATTTGCATCTCGTGAAAACGTTTCTGTGTGGACAGAGCGTCAAACTGACAAAATTGGAAACGACATTTTAGAAACGCTCGGAAACGTATCGTGTGCACATAGTCTGAGTATCAATGCTAAGTGTACCTACAAGGCTACAACGTATCAACCTAAAGTGTTAGAATGTTAGGGTTTGTAATCGAAGTGATTATATACATTTTAAGACCTGACCAGGAACGACTGCAAAAAATGCAGCACAAGGTCCTCTGGTAGGAATTGAACCTACGGCCCTGCGATTCCGGTGCAGCGCTCTAACCAACTGAGCTACAGAGGCCAGCTGTTGAGCTGTAAGTGAGAAGTGTAACTTCTTGAAAGATACTCTAGAATTCTTCGGTCAGATTTTCTCAAAAGATGGCGTCAACCCAGATCCGAAGCGCATTAAAGCACTAAAGAATGCGTCACTACCAACCAATGTTTCAGAAGTGAGAAGCCTGTTAGGAATGGCAAACTATATAGTTCATTCCAAACTTTGCCACTATTACAGCGCCTTTACGCGATTTAACTAAGAAAAATGCCAAATTCGTTTGGAGTGAAATTCACCAAAATCCATTCAATCAGTTCACTGAAGCTCTTTCTTCTGCTCCATGCGTGGCTTATTTCTCAAAACATAAAGAGACATACGTCACGGTGGATGCTTGTCCAGTAAGCATATCAGCCATATTATCCCAAAAGTCGAAAGGACTTGATGACGAGAAGACCGTAGCGTATGCGAGTCGAGCGTTAACAGACGTGGAAAGAAGACACTCGCAAACAGAAAAGGAAGCTCTTGCCATTATATGGGAAGTAGAGCATTTTCATTTATACCTACCGTTATGGCCACAGTTATGCAAACCAGTCGCAAAGTCGGTAACCCGTTATGCAAACCAGTCGGTAAGGCGTTGAAAACAGCAAAAATCCAACATTGGAAGCAGGAACTGAGTCGTTTCTTGCTACATTACGCAACGGGAGTACCACCGGCAGAACTTTTATTTAACCGAACTGTTCAAGGACAATTATCTCAGTGTCCTAAACAAGAAGAATAACTTGAACAGACATGCAATGAAGCTGAAACAACGAAAGGAAAAGAAAAGAGTACAACGAGAAATGCGATGCTCGAAAGCATAAGAAAAAAAATGAACTAAATGTCGATCATGTACTTGTTCGTCAAGAATGAAAAAACAAACTGACTAATTCAACCTTAATTTAAACCCATACCTTACATTGTAACCAAACGCGAGCATTCACGAGTCACAGCACGAAACCAAAACGGACATGTTATAACACGAAACGTGTCATACTTCAAACAAACCAAAATGAATACCGATACAGATATTGATGACGAAATAAATCTAGACAGTCCTGACAGTGTAATCAAAAGAGGCAAATAAATACAATGAACAATGCAACTCAAACTGAGGTGCCAAACAAACCAGTAAGAACATCAAGAAGAATACGAGGCAAACCAGACAGATTTGGACAGTCTGTATATGACTGGCACTATAATATTATGAACTACTTTGTTGCGTTTTGTTTCTGTTTAAAATGAAGGGGGTGATGTACAGTGGTAAACAAGGACATAATGGACATAAAATAATGCCATATATGGACACAATAACATGTGCAAAAGATATATGCTGAGATAGTCAGAATATACAGGGGTTTTCTAAATGTTGAGATTGAAAAAGTCACAGATATAATTATATTGGTGTAATAAAGTAAAATATTCACATTAAAATACAAGAATATTATACAAAGGTCATCTATTTTATGGCTTGGGTGTTTGCTGGGCTTCGATACTGTCATGTCTTCACAGACTATACATTGAGTTTGTAGATTTTTATTCACATGCAACCTTACCACAGCCATAGGACTAGAAAGTGAGGCATAACAACCTCAAAATATATTCTGTAGTGTTGTTTTTAATTTTGAAAGCTTACTACACTCATGCATGCAAAATATCTCTATTTTGCTGGAGTAGACTAACTTTACTTTGGTTGAATCTATTCTATAATTTTGTTACTTTCTCATATTGGGGTCCCAATCTATTCAGTATATCCAATGCCCAATTTTTATCTGGTGTGCAACACTATTCCAGCAGCAAGGTGCACCAAAGCTCAACCTGGATGATTAGAACTGACCGGGACTTGACAATTAAGACACCTAAGCCTTGTGACTAACCCTTTCTATAGTGAGTGCACATGTGTCAATCAATTCAAAACTTCAACATCCCCTCCTGGGCATATCCCGGAAATTTGAATTCAAGTCTTCTCCGGGGAGTAGGGAATTTGACATTCTAAGTCTTCCATGCGGTGGGGTATTTGATATGGGTGGGGAATTTGAACAAGAGAAATTTTGCCCATTTTCTCGTTCTTCCTGCATGATGAAAAACTGGCTCAAAGTAACGGGCATGGAAAAGCTATGTGCTTCATTTGAAGGTATGTACTATAAAATTGTGTAAAACCATAGACAGCCCAAAAATGCATGGTGAAAATTTTTACCCCGGGCATGGCGCTTGGGCGTGCATTGAGTCTACTTTATTTATTATTATGACAATAAACAAATATTTATTATTTATTTAAATATTATGTCATAATAATAAACAAAGTAGACTCTATGCATGCCCATGCACCATGCCCGGGGTAAAAATTTTCACCATGCATTTTTGGGCTGCCTATGGTAAAACTGTTAAATTTCCATAAGGTTTCCAAACTGCTTAACCCATTAAGCGCCAGCGCTCTCCCCTTGACGAGTAAAATGGTCTGGCATTAGACAGAGTAAAATACTAAAGTAGGGTGCATCAGGGTGCAATGCGACTCAATGGGTTACAGTGAAAATACAAAAAGTGTCCCACTTCCGCTTCTGTAGTTTGTTGTGATTTACTGTAATTTGTTCTGTTTTTCTGTAGCGATTACCGATTTATCGACAAATACCGCGATAAAACTTAGTTTTTGTCTATTTTTAAATATGATAATTTGTAGCAAAGGGAAATAATACATTTTTCGTTAGTTTCATTGCATAAAAGGAACGGAATCTAAATTTTATCGCAGTATTTGCCGATAAATCGGTAATCGCTACAGAAAAACAGAACAAATTACAGTAAATCACAACAAACTACAGAAGCGGAAGTGGGACACTTTTTGTATTTTCACTGTAAGTGAATTTTGATATCTCGTCGAAAAATATTTCCGTATATATTCTGTGCCTTTTGTATTTAAATACTTTAAAGGTGGGCCATTTGAACGCTTAATATCTTGTTACAGTGGGGCATTTGAAACATTTTTTGAAAAGGGGGTGTAGATTTCAAATTCCCAGGGTCGGATCGAGGGGGGGGGGGCACGTTGACGTTTCAAATTGATTGTTACATAAGCTACATAGTTTTACATACCCATGCTCTGAACAAGACTGAAACCTGATTTTGTAGTGATTGCTGGAACTAAACAAATTTTTAAAAATACAAAATGATACTAGTTGTCATATGACCAAGTTATTATTAAATATCATACCATTAGCACAGACCATGTGACCAAGAAGGGTTGGCTACTAATCAAAGAATAAATACAGAAATTCCACTGGCTATCAGATCAACCAGGGACTGTCAAGGAATTTCCATGGGATGGGTTAGAACTTCATAAAAAATCGCAGAAATTCCATGGGTAAGACTAAAACTAAAATCTGCGGAAATTTCAAGGGGAGGGGGAGGGGGCGGGGGCTCGGTTTAAAAACTGGCTCAATCTAGTGCTCTAATTGGATAAATTGAGGTATTATTATTATTACAAAATTTAAAGATAAATATTAATATGACTGTTTATATGACTGTTTATATGTCTTGTTTGAAAGTCATATGGCGTGATAGTGACATGCTGGGTTTAATATTTCTCTTTAATTAATTAAATTGCGCTTTCCGCCTGAAACGCTACTATTATAAAATTTTTACCTTGTCCAAAAGTAAATGTTCCCGTCTCAATTCCTATCTTCTTAATTTCCATCCACTCGTCTCCACTAAAGTTCACTTCAGAATAAGGAATATTATTATCTTGTAAAATCATTCGAATACTTTCAGCTCTACCACGCGTTTTAAAATATTGTAAAGTGAGTTCTTCAATGTTTGGAGCAGGAATGCAGCCATAAGATCCAAATATTGCTTTATCGATGCTATCAATCAGTGTCTTGGATCGACCGCTGTAGTAAAGAGCAATTGCTGCTGCGATTAAAGCAAATATCAACTGTGTGCCAAGTGCCATCGTCGTTTTGCATCAATTCAATACTTTATTGAACAGTGACACAAAACTCCGCACAAAAGCTTTGGCACATGTTTTAGTGCCTTTGTCAAACTTAAAATGCCACAGGGACCCCAAACCACACATGCCTATGTTTGTATAGCCTGCGAATACAGACCTATCTATGATACAGAGTCTCCTTCGACTCCCTCGGGCGCTACATTTTCGCCCGATGTGAGGCGTCTGCCGATTCGCAGGCTAATGTTTGTATTGTTACAAACTATGAAGGCCCGTTTTATACGTCGAATTTTGGTCGCGTCGAATGCAATTAGGACAATAGATAATGAGATGATAAACCTCATTAAGCTTCATTATCTACAGTCAGGGGTTTCAGAATGATTTGAAGTAGGCGGTTGTACCAAAAAAGTAGCCGGCTGTGACTGATAGTTAAAAAATCGCGCGGGGAGGGGAGCGTGCCCTCGCATGGAAATTTAAAAAATTTTCGCCGCAAATTAACAATCAAATAATATAGAATAAGTAAAAAGACAAAGTACAACTGTTAACATGTTAGATTTAGATGTCATTTGCATTTATACTTGTAAGTGACAATGTACTTTAGTGTGCTACTAGCAGTTTAATTTTTACAGCTGCATGAACAGAATGACAATGTACACTACAGTAATAGTATTAATTTGTGAGTCCGAAATCATTAATCAAATGATGTTATACTTATGTACGTACGTAATGAACTTCACTTCATCACTTTTTCTTTCTTTTGCTATGTTTGGTACTATGTATTATAATTTATCTTATTGATCTTCCAAAATAGGTGATGTTTTGTTTGAATTCAGGGCTTGAATTTTTCGCGGCAATTGCCGTAGAGGGAGAACAAATCATCATTGCGGCAACGACGGAAATTTTTTGCCGTATAGTAGAATTTTTGTACTATTCACTGTGCATTACTATTTTGATACTTGAATTCAGATGTTGATCAAATCATCCGTAAATTACTATTTTAGTCTCAGTTTTCTTCGAAAAAAAAAACACTAAAGAAATACGTAAACATGTTTCTATAGCTTGTCAGCAATCCAAAGTAAAAATAAAATAAAATTTTTATTACAGTAATTTGAAAAAATGCCGTGGAAACTGACAAAATTGCCGTAGACAGCTGTTACGTTCTACGGCAATTTTTAACGCCATTGCCATCGATTGATTTCAGGGAAATTCGAGGCCTCCTTGAATTACAATACAATACAATACTTTAATTTCGCTCTCCCCCAGGGGGGCTTTTCAAAGCCAAATACGATAATTTACAATACAATATAATATGTGAATAAATTAATTATACTATATCTATGGCTATAAAGTTAAAGTTTATAAAAGATGTCTTCGAAGTTTACTTTTAAAAATATTTATAGACGTGCTTGTTTTAATGTTCAGTTGGAACATAACAAACATCGTGTTGGTTCGCTTGTACCTTTGTATATAGAATTTTTCCTGTGACCAGACGAACAGTAGCCGGCGGTAAAAGTTCAAGTAGCCGGCGGAACTCCGCCGGCCGCCGGCTTATTCTGAAACCCCTGCTACAGTGCCGTAGCAAGCTCGATAATTGGGGGGGGGGGGCTGATATTCATATATTCGTGTTCACAGACCATAAAAACAATCGATTTCAAAAGAAATTAATAACGCAGAACACGAATATATGAATATCATATCGTCGCGACCGAAATTTGACGTATAAAGGCCGGTTTCCATTGCAGTCGCTTTGCCCGGGCGCACGGGCGGAGCCGGCTTTGAAAATCTGCTCACGCGGGCGTGACGGGAGTAAAAAACAATGAATGCTGCGCGGGCAGAGCGAACGTTACGGCCTTAAAAAAGGCTTTACAGTAAGGCAATTTTCCATGGCAATCGCTTTGCCCGAGCGGGCGGAGCGAACATACTCACAGTTCTCTGTGGTTGTCTAACCTGTGCATTTTTTATCTACATTCAACTACATCCAACTTTCTTGGCGTGTCCGCGCGACTGATTTTTCACGTGATTAAATATATTCGCCCGTGCAGGCAAAACGACCGCAATGGAAATGCATGTTTTGGCATTCTGCGACTCATCAGTGCAGCTTGGTACACGTCTGACGTCTACTATACATGATACGATCGATATAAAAAAAGCCTTCATACAGTTTCGTCTTACTGTAATTCATGTAATCGCAATCCTATCTTTCGATAATAAATTTAAGGTAAATTTCATGTTCTATGCACACTAAATATGCAAAACATATTGACCAGGATTCAGATTAGGGTGGTTGTACTGATAGAGATTATAAATAACACTAGAGGGGGCATCGAGGGTGAAATTTGGGAGCGCGGTAATGGGGGGCAAATTGAAATCCCGTATGAACACCACACAATTCTTGGGTTACATTTGAAACCTCAAAAATTTAAAACAAGAGTCACAAAACTGGGTGTTCTATATGTTTTGCATGTCATTACTACAAACATTCCCCCAAAATTCTGAATTCAAACGTTTAATTCCTCTTGAAAACATCAAAATTGCTGACATCAGCATTATTTTGGAACGCTCTCAAAAATGCGTTATAGACAAAATTGAGGTAAAAATGCTTGGTAAAATCAAAACGGGACTACTTAACTGCCATAAACAAGAATTTAGAGATTTTGGCTCAAACTCGCTCTTATTTTAACATTTTAATTGTTTGCCCCCCCAATAGCCGCGTTCCCTTAATTTTCTTTTTGACTGAATTAAGATTACGATGCCCCTTCTAGTGCTATTTATAATCTCTATGGGTTGTATGGTTGTATAGGGTCAGATTTCAATGTTTCAATCAGTGTTAATTGATTGCTTTCCGATTTGCATACAGTACTTCGACTTCCACAAAATGGCGTCACGTTCGAGAAATAAATCGCTAGAACGGGTAGAAAAAGAGCTACAGTGTTCGGTATGTCTTAGCAGGCTTAAAGACCCGAGAGTTTTCCCTGTATGTCAACACTCCTTTTGTCATGAATGTATTGTGGATTGGATTGAATCAAATGAACCAAAAAGCAAAATTCCTTGCCCTGAATGCAGATCGGAAGTAGAGGTATGCAAAATACTAGCTAGCATTTAATACACACTGACACTACTGAGACATTAATCTGCAATGTCAATGCATTAAATAATAATAATCTGTTTAATAAACCGAATTGCAGTAACAATTGAATTACAAGGTATACGTAAAATTAAATGTATAGATCTAATTACAAGAAATAGAATATAATAACGGTAAACATACTAAGATTATAAAAATCAAACATATTTAACTGTTACGGTCAGTTTTCGTGACAAATTTGTTAGTTGATTTTGTTCTAAGATAATAATTGTGTTCAGAATGCTGAATGCTTAGGTTCTCTCCGAGCAGTACATGCCAGTGGATTATAATCAACGTCCTCGGACTTCAGTTTAGTAATAAATTTTATACATGAATATATTATCTCTACGGGTACTAAGAGTTTCCAATCCTGTGCAAATCAAAGCCCCTTCATAAGACGTGTCAGGATAAATTATTCGTAATGCCCGTTTTTGAATTGATTCAATAACACCATGCAGATAGATAAACCGTCAAAGATGACCATGCTGGAGAAGCGTACTCAATTCTCGATCTTATAAACGAGCAATATATAGATGTTGACAAGCTCCGACTGACTTAAACCAGCTTTCTTAAGTATGCGAAGCGCATAAAGCCTTGTATTTGCCTTTTTGATAACGTAGTCCACATGACAGTTCCATGAGAGATCATCAGATAACAACAAGCCTTAAGTAATTTAAAAGATGAAACCGTTCAACAGGCATTCTGGATAATTATGTGAATCACATTGTCACATTGCAGACTCTATTTAAGGAAGGATATAACCATTTCCTTCATTCCTTGCACTTTCTTGGATTAATTTCCATTCCCCGATTCGATGCAAAATTTAAGATTTCGTCTCTCCAACAATGCGGTGTCATCAACGAACTTTACCCGCCCCTTCCAATCTTTCAAAAGGGAGTTAGTAAGGATGGCGAAGAGAATAGGGCCAAGTTTAGTGCCCTGAGGTAGGCCACCATTCATTTTCTTCCAGGAAGAAGATGCCGTTGCGAGTTTGACACTTTGCTCCCGGCCAGTAAGAAAGGATTTAATCCATCTAATAACAGGCGGATGGACTTGGAGGTTTCTACAGTAAGTTCACCAATAATGAAATTGTGATCAACGAGATCGATCGAAGCCTTTCCTAAAATCGGCAAAGAATAATTTTGGATAACAATGTCCTACGTGTAAACCAGCATGAATCAGATGCAGGAGGTAAACCAATGCCTGAGTGGTTGATTTCCTGGGCAAAGCAAACTGTTTGGTATCCAATTTACTGCTTACTTCACCTAGCAACGAATCCAACGTAAAACCTTCCATCACCGGCTTTACCAGTCTGGGACGTGAGAGATATTGGTCGTAAATTGTCCTCGATGGATCCTGGAGGAGATACTTTAGGGATGGGTATGACAAAGGCACACTTTAATTGTTGTGGGAAATTTCCTTGTACCATTGAAGCATTGTAGATGTCAGTAACAACAGGTGCAAGTTCGAATGCAAAGGTCTTCAAAATCTTGTTGGGAATATTATCAGGACCTGGCGACTTAGTAACTTTAATATGGCGTAAAGTTGAATAAACTTTACCAGTATCAACAAGACAGCGGTCAGGTACTTCCATCAGCTCGCCAGTGTCGTTGTGAAACTTGTGATCCAAAGGTTGAAAGTGCGAAGTGAGACCGGCAACAAGAAAATTATTGTAAGACTCCGCAAGTTCCGAGCAAGTTGGATTCACTTCGGATAGTAATTGGTGGTACCAACAATCTTGAGATGAGAGACCACCCAATGTTTTGATTTCTCTCCACCATGTACATGGATTTGTATTCTTTAATTGTATAACTGAATGAGAATAAAACTTACTTCGAGCTGCTTTGACATCACGCTGAACTTTGCCTCGCCAGAATTTATAAACTTGTGAAGATTTTCCATGTTTATGCAAAGCGTTTTGACGTTTTCTAATAGCATTCCGACTGCCGAATTCTCGTTAACTTAATTGGAAAAAAGGAATCAACCATTAACAACATAGTTTCGATAAATTTTTGGAATTTCAATGCAGAGTCAGATGTTTCAAAAACTTCTAACCAGTCATAGTTGGTAATCCATTCACCAAAAGATCTTACCCTGCTATCCCTTAAATCTCTTTTCCACTGACGACTATTATTAGGTTTTTGTTTGCGATGAAGATATGGCTTGATTAGGATTACATTATGGTCACTTGAACCAACTGGAGGGAGTTGGGAACACGTGTACGCAAGGGCTTTCACATTAACTAAACACCAGTCTAAAATAGAATTTTGTCGTGTTGGAACATTAATTATCTGTGTCAGTCCAGAAATTCGTTTCAGGTGTTTATCATTAAACCCAATACTTGTAGGGTTGAAATCTCCCGTAACGATGACAACTGCATCAGGGTAACGACAGAGTCTACATTAGATTGAATATGATTATATAATTCAGAGTTTTCTAGAGCGCCTGATGACGTGGTATGATAAATAGGTGCTAGGAGTATGACGGGCAGATATCTTGGTCTCACAGATAACCATAGGGATTCAACTAAAGGGTTTACAAATTCTTTAATTCTCCTACATTTAATAGAAGACCTGATGCAAACGCATACACCCCCACCAGAAGCTACTGCACGATCGATATCGTTCCTAAACACGATAAAATTAGACAAGGACAAAGCAGAGTCAGGGATAGATTGCGATAGCCAAGATTCTGTTAAGCAAATAAAGTCAACATCGTTAACATGAGCTACTATCGTCAATTCGTCAATCTTAGAAGCCAAGGAGCGAACATTTGCAATTTGTACATAAGTCTGGCTTTCATTTGTGCTCTGCGTTCTTCAAGGGTTATTCAACCAAGTGAATTGCGAGCCAGTAAGGATTGTCCAGACTCATTTTTGAAATCATAATTATTCTAACCGCCCTATTTTCGTTTTAATCGCGATTCTAAAATTGTCATGTCCAATTTTAAATCCTCCAAGTCAGCCTTAACCACTCTGACACAAGAACAAGTGCAACTACATACCTCGGATGCATCCGTGTGTCCCATATCTGTAGCAGCGTCCTCGGTTTCTTTGTCAGTAGTCCTTGCTAGTTGCTACAGCTTCAGGATGAGCTAGACTGGCAATATTCCGAAGTTGGGATTTAATATCATAGATAGATAGATAGATTATAAACTTTATTTAAACACGCTGACCCCATCAACCGAAGCTGATTTCCACGAGGGGCGTGCGAAAAGTATACGGAAAAGAATTTTAAAAATATAGTATTATATGAACTAACAAACTAAGGTAATAATCTATATACAGGTAATATTAACATCTATGTTTTCAGTTAGCTATCAATCAATGAGTAGCGATTTTCTTTCGAAAGGAAGAAAAGGATTTGCTCTCTCTTATTTCTTTAGGAATAGAATTCCAAAGGTGTGCTCCGTCATACACGAAACTTTTTTTCATATTATTAGTACGGCGGTACGCGGTTGGGGTAAACAAAGACTACTTGAAATGTTCCGAAGTTTGTAGTTTGTCACCTCACCCTTCATCACTCGAATTCCTGTTTAATGTTAACGAATTACTGTCCGAGTACCATCTTACTGCTATATCGGTTACGTCAAGTAGTTTGCAATAACCACCAGGTGTCGACCATTTTGTATCGCTCTTCGTCAATTCGTTCATCAACAATTTAAGTACTTCAAAAGGACCGTTCCATTTAAATTTACCTTTTTCACTAACTGTTAGATATTTCGCAACGTTATCAGTATAATTTGTTTGAGTTAATGATTAATAGTAGATTTCTCGCCCAAATCTTGTTCCATATCGGAGCTCACGGTTGCATGACCGCCCGCCATTAAGCTCATACAACCATATCAAATAACATAAATGTATATGCTGATGAAATTTGGTGTGTGTCAGTTGTCGATAATTATAACGAGTTATACAACGTGTGGTTCTTAACTTAATACCCTACTCATCGATCCGAGCAAGAGGAGTGCTTGACAAGTCCTAAACTATAATGGAGTTATGGTAAAACACGGAACACCGGATCACCCAAAAAACCTCTTGCTGAACCTATAAGATATATACGCATATTATACAAAACCTATAAGACTGACAAACCGAACAAGCATATTAATTGAAAAATAGAACAAAGCTAACGAAATAACATCCAAATTGCTTTCATTTATAACTTCTACTGTTGCAGGTTGGCAATCCACCCGATTTATCGCAATTTATGCGAATGAACCATCGCGTCAATAATATCTTGGAAAACTTGGAACAGTTACATATAACATCGGATGAAGACATCCCTGGCACCAGCACAATCTGTGGAATACATGAGGAAGAACAACTGAAGTACTACTGCAGAACTTGTGAAACACCGACATGCAAGCTCTGCAAATTACAAGATCATCATAAACACGAATGCTGTCCTATTGCCGTCATTGCTAAAGAGATGAAGAAAAGCTTGGTAAGAAAACTTGTGACACTTCGAGAGCAAAACGTCGAACTGACTGACGACATTTCAAACTTTAAAATGCTGAAAGAAGTTATCACAGAGAAAAACAAGCGAGTCCATGGTGAAATCACGCAGCACTTTGAATCACTTCAGGAAATATTGGAGTTGCAAAAACAACAATTCCTTGATACAGCTGATGTATTAACAAACCACAAATTAGGAATTATTGACAGGAAACTTGACAATGATCGGAAGACAAAGGATCGTGTAGAAAAGAACATTGGTGATCTAGAAATGACTTATAAAAGTATGGAATATGAGAAAGTTCTATACACGGGGAAATGTGTTTCAGCAAACGTAGAAAACATCCCATTTGCAAATGAGCAACTTTCAGTAGACGACGACATGAAGTTTCTGGTCTCATCGACCGCCACTGAGGATTTCAAGACATTTCTGGCTAAATCTCATTTGGTGGCTAATGACGTCTGTCTGGAATGTTGCACTACCTCCTTAGAGCCAAAGCACCCGAAGAAAGGAGAAAAAGCAGTGATAACTGTGACATGTAAAGACAGTAATAACTGTGACATCAAATATGGTGGACAGAAAATAAAAGCAGAATTTACTGGATATGCAGCAGTAAATGTCCATGATGAAATTGATCGTAATGATGGAACACATGTGTTTGAATTTGTGCCTACTGCACAGGGAGAACTGATAGTGAAATTTTGCATCAATGGTCAAGAAGCACCTAACTGCATGTTGAAAACCACTGTTCGCCGATCTAAACAACAGTGAAAAAACTGAAAAAGATTTGCACTACTTCAGTAGAATTTGTCGGATAGTGCTATACAACCCAGGGACGTGCTGGCTAGGGACGAGCCGACAAGAACGTATTGTGGGCCCCTGCCATCATGGGCCCCTAAAATTAAAACATTGGAAAAGATAAAAAATATCGAATCATGATTTTAATTTTGAAAATCAACATTAATTTAAGATACTACACTGATTTTAATATATTTTAAAAATCTAAATTTACGAAAATATTACCGAAAAATTTATCAAATTACCGCTAATAATCTTGGGGGAAAAAGATTAATTAGCTACTGCAATGTTTCATGTTTGATTAGTAATACCCCCCCCCCCCCAATCTTGATCCATCCGTCACTGGGCCTGGGCCCCATCAGACGTTGCTCATTCATTGTCCTTCAAGACCCCATCACGTCCCTCCCTGATACAACCTCGTACCCAGGGCCTTCTATCTGTTAAAATGGTTGGATATTTTTAAATATAGGGAAATATTAACAATAGAATATTAATATTATATGACTTTTTATATAAATTAACTCATTTATTATATATTAGATAGAATTCAGGACGTATTGTATCCCTGCCCCTGGAGTCCCTGGTGATACATGGGTAAATGTACTCTGGTATCTGAATAAGTAAATTAGTAAATGCTAATAAAAATAGCATCATATTTACTGTCCAAACATTAACTTGGTTACTGTATCTGACAAGCTAATATACCAATGACAATGTTATATGTATAATAGTCAGTTTTCAAATTTTTGAATGCATATAAATGTAAAATACTAATAAGGGACCGGTCATTAATAATTGGAGGGGGGTGGTGGGTGACAAATACCAAATATTGAACTTTTTTAGAGCCGCCCCTGATCGGTCAGACCTTTATTTTCAAGATGCCCCCACCTTCACCTAGAAAATTTAGGACTTCCCCCCGCTCCAACATTTACATGTAATTCGTTATATTTTTTGGTGTAAAATAGGTAATGGGACAAAGTACTAGTGTTGACAAAGACATTGTGCAGCCTAAATATTAGAGGGCCAGTATTCAAAATGGTTGTTATTCACTCCGACTCCTGTGGTGAACTGCATATATATAATAAACTATGGAATCTACGATTATAGGAACTAAAAAAGGTGAAATATTTTGTGGAATACAGGCGAGAGATTGAAAATCAGTATAGGAAAGTATTAAAAAATTTGGGTTGCCCCTTGTCACATATTTTTCAGTCTGAGACCGCCCCATTATTAATGGTCCTTTACGCATGCAATGAACTTGTGATTATACTTGGCGAAACATGACAATCGGCAGACAAGTACGATCAAGTTAATTCACGGGATTTATATTATACAATTACAAACATTATAAATATGTTACCTGATTTAATAGCCGGATTTATAAATATAATAAATATAATAAATATATATATATTAATTATTTAGAACTGTCACTATCTGTATCGCTATACATCTCGGACACTAACGAAATTTTTCGTCTCTTTGACTGATAATCGTCTTCCTCAAGTAAAATATTCGAACTGTTAACATTTGATGTTTTGTCTCCATCTTCTCTTGCTTTTTGATGATTACTCATGGCAGGAACAGCTAGGGGCTTGAGGGACGTTTCTGAATTGACATCTAAGTGTGTATCACATTCTAAACGTTTCTCGTCTTGATTGAGTTTCGGTATTATCACCTTTTCAGTACTATCTTCTAAAGGACGGTTCATTTTCTCTTCGCGAGATTCATTTTTAAGTTCTAAACATTCACTCTTTCTACATTCGTTCTTATTTAATGTACTTTCAAGGTTCGTTTTAGATATACAGTTGTTGGTTAAATTTTCACCAGTAGTTACGTCAAACGTATTTTCTGTCTCATTTACAGAACATTCCTTCTCTTTCAAATCACTCTGAGTCTTCCTCCTTATCCCTAAATCCTCACTATTCTTGGTAAAAATTGTGGTTAAAGCATTTGCACCACTAGGTAACATCATTCTCTGTCTTTTTTCAAGCAAACTGGCACGATGATTGTTTTTATCAGACGTTTCAGAGAACATTGGTCTGCTTTTAATTTGCAGTCGTCTTTTTCGTTTTTCTTCCCCGTATCCTGAAAGGAAACCACAGATAAGGGTTTAGCCAAATAAAGTTAGCATATAATACAGTTATATAAAAAATATTGACCAGGGATTGGTCGTTCAAAGCTGGATTAACACTAACCCTGGATTAAAATCTTACCCGCTGTTTTGGTTTGGGTATATTTGCACTAAACTGTTTATTAAACTTTCGAAAATAAAACTTCTATTGATCCAGAGATGAATTGTGGAAACTATTTCATGTTTCTAAACAGGTTGTTAGGGAGATTGCTTTGAAATTTTCTTTAAACTAGGATTAAGTCAGTTGGCTTTCGAACAACCGGCCCCAGTGGTCGAAGTTGACCCGCCGACTATAGGTGGGTTTCACTTAAGACTTACCTGTATATACAATAGGGAAACATTTGTTGGTCAACTTTACACATATTGCCGCTTTATGCCTTGTGTAAGCAAGTCAGTAAATTTCGTTAAATTGCATATATTTGATACCAAACACAAGATCAATATTTATAATGAATATTTAACTCGCTCCTATAAATGTGTTTCCATTTGGAGTTGACCATCAAGCGCTAAACGTATCACGTGACTGAAACCCAGCTTATTGCATATAATTGATACATTATTAGAATAATTGCAATTCCGGAGATTGTATCATCTTGGCTATAAAGCCTCGTTTTCATAATTAAGACCTTGTTATCAGTGATAGAAAATAATTACACTGTACAGCATGCAGCAGTAACAAGATAAAAGCTCCAAAAGCCAAGGTCTCAATCACGACAACAAGACTTTATGTCCAGATATCGTACTTCCCGTGTGTATAACAGTAGAAAATACAGTACTCTTACCTTCCGCGCGAAATCTGATGTTTTTAGCATGTTGGATATCGTCAGGATCTTCGTTGACAAGATCAAGATCTAAGCCTCCTTTATCTTTGATTTCCTGATCTTTCTCTTCTTTCTGTACAATCACTTTCTTTTCTTGTCTAAACTTCTTTCTAAGCATTTGATTGAGTGCAAAATCATCCTTCCATTGTGTTTGCATATCCTTAATAAAAAAACTGTATCAGAATAAAAAAAACTATTCTACTTTGTACTATCGAGAAATTGTACCCTCCGGAAATCTTGAGCAAGATATGATCATGTCTAGGAAAGGGACCTTGTCCAGGATATTATACAAAAACAGAATCTTGAACAAAGGAATTTCTCCAGGATCCTTTCCTGATACAAATCCCATGTCGTATATGTACGGAAGGATCCTTACCAGGATTTTGACCATTGTCTTAATTTGTACGATCTTATATAACCAGGATTTTGACCATTGCCTTAATTTGTACGATCTTATATAACCAGGATTTTGACCATTGCAAATTGGCTTAATTTATAGGATCCTAACCAGGATTGTCAGAAGGTTTAGTAGGATCCTAGGATGTCGACGAAGGGATTTAAGATCCTTTTAAGATCTTGTAGTCATGTTTTCTAGCAAGATACATGTAAGGCTTCTACCATTCTGGAATCACAGAACAAGCCGTAACGAATAACTACAGCTGTTGTAAATATATGAGCTCATTTCGTAACATTCTAGAATTTGACCACAGGTTTGATGATACGTTTGCTTAAGTTTGCAACTCGGAATGATCATTATGAATAAAATGAATCTTTACCAATGTCAATGTCATACAATTAGTCAAGTATATTGTATACAGAAATAGAATTATACATTATACGTTATTCAGCTCATCCCCCATGGGGGCGTTGCAGTGATCGATTAATTACGTCAAGTAATACACTTACTTAAATTACCTAGTACTTGCCTAGATTATTTTTCTTTACAACAATTGTGATATTGGTTTCCTAAACTAACTGTGTTTATCCTAATCCACCCTGTGAACGTTCCCGGTGGGAGGAAAGTGGAGTGCCCGGAGAAAACCCACGACTTTCCACAGAGCATTGACTGACTCTTTTCACACGAGTCCGTAGCTAGAATCGAACTAACGACCTCAAAGGTGAAAAGCTCTTTTTTGCTCTGACAAAGCGGAAGAAAACCGGGAGGTAAATCCGATTAATCGCCTCATCTCTAGTAGATTCTCCAACCCAATATTGCAGTATGAGGACGAAGTGAAGAATTTAAAAATACATACAGTATACATCCATGCATGTAGTAGCTGTGTAAAGAATGAGTATTGCCACTAACTTTGATTTGAACCAGTCCAGGTATTGCAGCTTTTGATTTCCGCTTATCTTTTTCACCATGTTCCAGTTTGAACATTGCATCATCAATCAACTTCTGTTTGTCAGCATGATCTGTTGAAACACACATGAAACATTTTAAAACAGATTTATCTGATGGACGCATATTTTACGTACAACCCGATCTATAGATGCTCAGACATTAGGCAATGCTGTCAGACAGTGGCGATGACACTTGGGAAATATCGGGGATTTTAAGTCATTAAAATGATTGAGTTTTTAAAACATTTTCCCATAGATTTTACGCAAATTGTTTAAATTATACAGTAGTCTATTAAGGCCATATAGATATCTTATGTACACTAGATAGCGCATCTCTTTTAGTAAAATTGAAGCCAAGAATATTCCAGCGGTTACCCCCATTTGAATAGATGGCGGCCATGTTGGTCGTTCCCACTTGCTAATAAACGCTTAAAAACAACAATAACTTTCATCATTTGAATAGTTTAAAAATGTATTTGGAATAGGGTTAACTTAGTGTTTAGGTTCCCTGTTTAAGAAATAGAAAACATACGAATCTTCTCATTTCATGGGAACGACCTGAGATTGCAATCACGGCTTCAATTCTTGAATTGCAGAATAATTAGATGCACAATCTAGTGTATATAAGATATCTATGATTAAGGCTTCAAAATGTTTAGGAACAAACTTTCCCTAAGTCTCATGTTAATAGTATATTTTGTGTTCAATATAGAACTCAATATGATTAAGGCTCTCATGCATGGTTGGTGGTCATTCATGATACACCATTGTCAACAGATAATCAGTTTTCACTCAAAGACGTTTGGAGGTCTCTCGCTCCTCCTAGTGCTCATCACTGCTGTCAGGAACTATTAACACAAGGAAAGGTTACCTGTAGCAATCACGTTCTCTGTGGCAGCTGGATCCCAGCGTTCTTCTTTTCTTCTCGCTCCGGCCACAATCGTGTAGTCACAGTTCTAGTCAATATATTAATAATAAAATAATTATGTGTCAACACAAACGTGGTCTTCTAAATTCATGTACAGTATATATATATATATATATATATATGTAGTGTATATAAAATAATTTGATAACTAAGAAAACAGAGAGATTGTTAGTTACACCAAATAGCATACTTTACTACTGTAATGACAGTTGGTTAAAACTTCTAAAAGTTTAAAAGTTACTTAAAAAGAAACTTCTGGAATTTATTGGATTGTACATATTCCTTTCAAGGGCCTTTCTTCATAAAGCTACAAAAATGTTCAATTTATGTATTGTACTAACTGTGTATTTATGTAGGTTGCCGGAATTTGTGAGACGAAAATAGGAAGAAACACGTGAGACAGTCTGCTTTGTAGCGTTCGAAGTTTTGATAGCGTAATGATTTTCAAAACTCAAGAAAAAATAATTGCCTGAACTCAATTGAAAGCGATCTAGCAAAGGTGGAAGACAGCCAACTTTGTAATTTCGGAGTCTAGATTTTAGGATTTTGTTAAGTGATCGTAAAAACGATATAAAGATACACTACTTTACACTTCTGAATAACTTTTATGTTCCAAACAGTCTTGAAGTTCTTAATTATTATACCTTTTTCAGTGCAAATTTACGTCGTTTGCAAGGATTATATTTGCCAGTACTTATTATTTAACAAATATAAAATATTTTCCGTGTTGATATACATACAGTTTTACCAACACGAGTGGAAATTGGGAAAACGAGAAATTGTGTGGAGACACGATGTCGAGTTTTCCCAATTTCCACGAGTATGCAGTGTGGATATAACTGTATATCAATACGGAAAAAATGTTTTATATTTGTTTTATAATATAGCACAAAGAAATATAAAGAAAGAAATTTTCCGTGTTGACATTGAGTTTTAGTATTTTTGCACAAGTGAACATAACAAATCCTACACGTTGATTGGTCAAATTTGACGTATTAAGTTATATATTCACCTACAGGTGAATATAACAAAACCGAAATTTTCAAAATGGCGGCTAGCCGTTTTGTGGAAGTTACGGATAAAGAAATAAGCGAAATTAAAATAAATTCAGTCCCAAAAACACAAAAGACTTCTGTAAAAATACTAAAACAATTATTCGCCTCAGACTCGGTGATTATCTGGGAATATTCACCTCGACTTCGCCTCGGCGAATATTCCCCGATAATCACCTCGCCTTCGGCGAATAATTGTTAAATATCAACACGGCTCTTAGCCAATCAGAGTTTAGAATTTACACATGCTATATTATAAATATAGTAGTAGACCGTATTTATTGTCAATAGCGTAGCCAGCCCGACGATTTAGTCCCGCTATGCAAATATTTTCGTGTTCATTGACTGTGAAAACAATCAATTTCTACAGAAATGAATAATGATAATAATTTTGAATTTGCATAGCGGGACTAAATTGTCGGGCTGGCTACGCCGCTGTTTATTGCGCTTACCATCTCAACAGTTATCCTGATAGTATATATATGGCTGCTTAGCCATGTTCGTGCATTAAAAAAGGTAACGTATAAATGGCATTACAATACCTTAGGATCAGTTTCAATTTCAATGTAGTTATCACAAAGATGACATTTCATTCTAAATCTGTAGATTGGTGTTGTGTAATAATTACCAACTTTCTTTTTCTCTGCATTGTAACGTACACCTAAATAGACAAAACAACATTAGAGCGCAAAGAAATAAGCGGCACACTTGCGACATCTTCGCAAATGTAACAAAAAAAGTTGAATAGGGTTGACTTCTGATATTTGCCTGTATTTTGGAATTAAAACTAACCAATTATTTTTAAATGACAAACTACGAAACAGCAATTTTAGAACTGACATTTTGCCAAAATCTAACATCCAAACTAACATCCAAAGACCAACATGAAGTCCCTCATACACACGTAAAAATCTCACATCTTGTAACAAGTCTGCCAACAAGCCGTCAACAAGATGTATTCGCACTGCTTGTCACAAGTTGTCAACAAGTTTGGAACAACTTGTTGACAACTTGTAACAACCTTGTCGAAATTATCAGACCTGTTGCAAGGTTGTTCTGACAAGTCCGTTACATGCTTGATATAACAAGATTGTTACAACCTTGTGTTGACAACCTTGTAACATCCTTGTTATATCATGGCTGTAACAAACTTGTTAGCACAGTTTGCAACAAGGCTGATAATGCCATCAAGCTTGTTACAAGTTGTTAACAGCTTGTTTCAAACTTGTTACAACAAACAGGGAGCAAGCAATGCGAACACAACTTGTTAACAGCTTGTGAACAGACGTGTAACAACTTGTTTGCAGACTTGTTACAACTTGTGCGTTTTTACGTGTGTAAAACAGTCTTTATACGGATTGTCTCCAGTACACGTGTACTGTATATGACGTGTGCGTCACGTGTAACTTGCGCGTACATGCAACATACATGCACGTCACGAATGTGTCGTAAACCCCCGTAAAACGTCGAGTGGAATACAAAGAATGAAGACCAAGAACAATAAGACAGTCTTACCCATTCCAATATGATTACCACATCCTCCGCACCAAATATTATATGGCATTTCAAATCTAGGTTTATTAAAAAAATTAAGATTATGATATTAATATGAATATTGTGTCAGTTGAAATATTATACGTATATATTTATATACGTATAATATTCCAATATGTAAAGTTCCAATATATAAGGTTCCTATAGAATTTGGAGGAGTAATTTTGAAAGAAGTAGGCGGCCATGTGGTGCCGAAGATAACACTCGTCTGGAGATCCGAGGACGTCTCTCTCTGAAGATTCTGGAATTTAAATCTTCTGAAATTTTTAAAGTTAGGTTTTGTCATTTTATCCAAATATTGTTAGAAAGCAAGAAACCTTTCTCTTGACATTTCGACAGTAAGTACTAAGGAAGAAATATTTTGGTCTGTAATTTCGAGAAATAACCGGTGATGGTTTAATATGAAGAAGAAAGCCAAGCTGTACATTTTGCATGTCTTAATCTAAATCTAGGGTAGTTCAGTTTCCTCCAGTATAATTATAGTATCACTGGACTACTACTGTAAAGGCAGGTCTACACGATACGATTTGTCATATAAGATTGTAATTCTGCTGTATGAAAATTATGCTCACGCTACAATTCCTCTTCAATCAGTTAAAGGTGAAAAGTGTTAAGGCGTGGTTATTCCATTACGTTCGCCAGAATAAAAATTGTATACGACTAATCGTGTCGTGCGACTGGCCTTAAGAGATATATATAGGCCCTTATATAGGACCTCTTGGGAGTGCACTTCAGAACTGCTAGATGCATATTCAGTGGTATTAAAGTTGGTTACAGTTTAACACAAATGACAGTACAAAACATTAGAGTATATAAGGAAATGCTTACCTGATAATCAAAATTCCTTGAGAAAGTTTTCTAGCTCTTTCACGAAGAGGATGTTGGCCAACATGTTTGTTGACAGAACCCTGAAAATATTTCATACAATATTAGTTAGAACAAGTTTCATGGATATTTTGCAATAGGATATTTCAAATTATTGCCCTTGTAGCTTTGCTATAAACGTGTTTATCTCAGGCCCGTAGCTGGGGGGGGGGCCTGGGGGGGCAATGCCCCCTCACTCGGTGGGGCAGTGCCCCCCCACTCGGAAATCGGGTATGAAAAATTGAGATAAAGGGCCTGGGAATCAATTGTAAAAATGGAAAAAATTCTGTAAATTTTGTTGAAAATTTAGTGATTTTTGAAAAATTTTGTTAGGTTTCGGAAAAATTGAGAATGTCCGGAAAAATTGGTATGTCCGGAAAAAATTTTTGAACCCTAAAATGGTACAATGACCGAAATTTTTTTGGCGACGGGGGGGGGAGGTCGCCAAAATAATTTCCGGAAAAAATTTTTTTACATCTAAAAGGTCGGTTACATTCTTTATGCAGTGAGTGCCCCCCCCAGAAATTGAGAGCCAGCTACGGGCTTGGTTTATCTGTATGTTCTTACTAATTCTTCTGTTGAAGACCTTCGCAAGACACGTTGGAATTCTAAGCTTACGCTTCATTTTGAATCTGAGATAACCAATTTGGTGGTTGTTTTAACCAATATATTGTTACAGTGTATATGTTTTCACAACACAATTCTGTGACTATGTTTTGAAAAATCGACGAATCAATAAATAACTCATCATAGATTTTTACAACAACAAGAGGACTGTTTACCTTGCATATATAGTTAAATTTGTAAAATGAAACATTTTATATTTTCTGTGTCAATTGTTACTGTACCTTGGATGGGTCCCAGTCGGGAGGATAGTACTTATTAACCTGTTTCCGTTCCGCCTGTAAAATAGAAGAAAAACGTAACGATCATTATCATGATTACAGACAGTCAAGCAAAACAACCGTAGATTAAAGACATTTTCAGGGGGGTTACACCCTTCATCAAGCAACTTGAATATGGTGACTGTACATTGGAGAATCATTTCACGAACAATTGCAAGCAGTGTTAAGCTCGGATCCTGGAAATGTGACAGGGCTCATCATCGGTTAACATACTGTATATCTGTATACAATAAAATGCTATGTTTATTATTTCTGTGTAATGCCGCTAATGGGCGAATATGGCCAGTTCATCCCAATTCCCAATCATCCCTAATTTTCATGCGGGAAGTTATCTAAAATTTCAATATGTGCTTATTGGCAAATTTGCTGGCCGAGAGGAGTGTGTATTCCCAGAATAAGTTTGCTTCAAGGATCAACCAGTCCATACTGAAATTATTTTCACCATTGATGACATTTTGATTACATATGAAGTGTAAAAAATCTACACCTTGTCCTTGGCCTTGCTGAAAAATTATGACACCCATTCTTTCAGATGAGCCTGGATCCAGCTCAAAAATACAATATCATCTGGATAAGCCGAAGTTGAACAAAATAACAACATAAATAGTAATTTCCTTATGTCAGGATGTTTCTTAATTAAGTCTGTTCATGGAGTAGCCTCTAACTACAATTATACTCTTCCCCCAGGGCGTAGCCGAACTAGTAAGTTCAATGTAGGGGAGACCATGTTCTTATTAGAGATGTTGGAGTCATCGCCACTCATCGGTACAGTAAGTCCTACAGACTACAGAGGTTGAGGCAGTCGCTCTCTTTGCGTCAGGTCTAGAAATGCTGGATTAAGGCTATCAATTGATTCACTGTGCCATGGCATCCATTCTATATTTTTCATTCCAGGGCCTATCATAAGGTCGTTTTAAGCGCATCATGACGGACGAACACATACGTAGCATGTTTTAAAGCATCAGCACAAAGTAACGCTTTCCGTGATGTTGCGTTTGAAGTGGGCGTTGTTTCACGTCTCACAGTCAGCCAAGGAGCAACGTTGGGTTGTTTTATAGATCCGTTCAGTGGAACCGCATTCAAGGTCATCTTTCAATAAGGTCCTTATCCCAAGCATCTCCGTAACATCAATTGAAACATTACCGTATGTTAGATAACTTTTATGGTTAATACGTTTTCCCTCGTGAAATAAAGTTTCTATTCTATCACAATTGGCAATTTATCGTGCTAATTTCGACGTCTGAACGCACCATGAGTGATGCTTTCAATTGGCGATGGAAGCTAGCTCTCGATAATAATGGTATGCAGTAGTTCTGTTACGTTTCATACCCTGGATATCCATGAGAGACTATACCAAAGATTGGATTCAAACTGAGCAACACGGTCGGACATAATGGTGCTGGAAATACCAAATTGCGCGATACAGCCCGCCATCAAGGCACGGGCACAAGATTCTGCTGTCATATCTAGGACGGGGATCGCTTCGGTGCAACGAGTGTAGCGACCAACGCAGGTAAGAAAGCAAGAAAACCCCTGGGATGGCGGAGATGGACCTAAAATGTCAATGTGATTGTCCTCAAAACGGCCATCCGGAAGGTCAAATGTCTGCAGTGGGTCGTGGTGTGTCTTCCATCAACGGACATCTTAATGTAGGCAATTCCAAACAAAACGTGTCCTGATGAGCTAAATGGATGATATTAAATAATTCTCGACGAAAAGACTCAGGAACGACAGGTCAGGTGTTGCCCTCAGATACATGTCCCGGAGTAGAAGCGCAAGTTCATACATTTACGAGCCGCAAGTTTGTGTAATTTCTCTTCACACTCTGGGGCATGAGCCATGGCACAAAAATTGTTTTCAGTACAGGATGTCGTCCGGTAGTGGACAAACGAGGTTGAGAGTTAATGAGAGTTGCAACTCTTGCTCGTGTTTAACCGCCAACTCTCATCAACTCTCTTGCACTCTTATCAACTTTGATCTGGTTCAAATTTTGATGAGTGTTGAAGAAAGTTTTCGCTAAGCGCGCGGTAATACCCAGTCAACTCTCACGCAACTATTGTTCTCGTTTGACCGGGCCATGAGAGTTGGGAAAACTTTCATGCAAACTCTCGCTTTTCAACTCTCATAAACTATTAGGGCTTAAGTGACGGATTTGGCGAGGGAAACATTAGGTTGAGGTGTTGGAAATGGCAAAGGTTAAAGATTAGACCGTGAGCAGTCCCTCGGGAGAAAGGAGGGACTGCTGATAACACATCAAATTGCTCTGGGTGGGGCACTGGAGTGCCAAAAATTCAGGAGGGAGGTGAGCAAAGGGGTAGTGCTGCACCACTGAGCAAGTGGCGATAGGGTGCACTCCCTGCATCCCTCCAGAAAATCTGTCTGCTTGTCCCATGTTGAGTAAAATTGTCTGGGATTGAACAGAGTTTTTAAAATAATAAAGTAGGACATATATAACTGAAATTGTGACTCAATCAGTGATCTAGAGATAAAAATAGCAATTGATTTCAGAAGACAATAACCAATGAAGACAAAACGCCCACTGTCTTTGGTATGCGTGTGTCTTCTCAATAGACAATGCCGAAAACCGATTGATGTTCTGTTTTTGACAAACAATGTGAGTCATCGACCCCAAAATAATCCCGAACGCGCTAATAAAAGCCGATACAAGGTCGCAAGCTTTTCATTCAGCCAGTTTGTTCTGTCCTGCAAAAACTTCACTGATCTGTCATCTGTCTTAGAGTGTTCACATTGAAAGAAAAAAGTCTCAAAATGCTTCGTGAACTAACTAAAGAGTCTAAACTTTCAAAGTATGCGGTTGTATAGCGTTTCACGAATAGCGACAAAAGATGTTGTTGTGGTCGGAGGTGGCGGAGAAATTAAACGAAAATCTAAAGATTTTGTTATGTTGAAGCGTGAAAGATTTTCTAGCCTACATTTTATATCTTTCTGCAGGTAAGTATACATATTCAGAAACCACTTTGGATTAATATAGCTACTGAAGACCTTGGTTATTGTCGATTTCAAGTCACTTTTCAATGCGCAGTTCCCAAGTTCATTGAGAACTTGTCAATTATGTTTCCAAGTTCGGAAATTAGGCGCGAAAGGTCATATTTCTTAACGTTTTATTTTAAATCCGGATTTTAATATTCACGGGACGGGATTACTGTCCCACGGGACAGGACGGGATTGTTAACTTTCCCATAGACGAATTTTCACTTTTTTACTGGGGTGGTGCCAAATATTTTAGGGGGGTGAGCTGTGAACAGGTGACTGAAGCAACACAAAGTGTCACCAAACCCCAGTAAGGTCTATATTCTAGGGGTGGAACACTAAAGCCGCGAGGGGGAGTCTAGAGAAGAGAAAACAAAGTATCCCTGGAAAAAAATCATGATTTCTAGCTTCGAAAAAAAGTTTTTTGAAGTTGTCATATCAATGGATTTGGCATGTCCGATTGTCTGTTGAGACTTGAGAGAGTTAAAGTTAAATGAACCTGTAAAAGTGTAAACCCAATAGGCCAATACACAATATGCTTTTACTTTTATAAAGTCATTGATTGACATTGTGTCGTTTGAATCCGAGTACAATTTATGATGCAACTCCGATGTAAATAATATTTGGGGCATAAAGATTAAATCTAGGCAAATCTATTTCCTAAAAGAATTAAAAACTAAAAACAATGTTCATAAAAATTCCAATTAAACGTTCCTTGCAAGCAAGCTATTTGCATGACAAGGCACTGCAAACTCTATATTTCAGGGGAGATAAATTATAGAGTTTCAAAACTTTACAATTGCTCCAATAAACCAGTGAATGCAAGCGAGGAGCAATTAGTTTCAGAGTATTGCACTGTCTTTTTCTATTTGAGTGTACTCCTACGTTTATTTTGTATCATCAACACTTTGCACGTTGGAGTGGACTATTTAATTATTTTTTTATTATGCTGGATATTGGGGGGGGGGGGGATTGAAAATTTGGAGGGGTGGACATTTTGTGATAGCTATGATGACTTTTCCTCTAGTTCACCTGATATAACTACCCAAAATTGGGTTTCCCATTTTAAACAGCTACATGCAAAACATAATCTAGGTACTGAACAAGAAAATATTTTACAACAACTAGATATGCTCAAGAATAACAAAAAAGAAAATAATTTTCTTGATAACCCTATTTCTGAAAGCGACATTCTTAATGCAGCCAAGAAATTAAAAAAACGAAAATCAGCATACTCAGATAAGATAAAAAATGAAATGATCAAATCGAGTGTAGAAATTCTCCTTCATGGTTACTATAAATTATTTAATCTCATCTTAGAATTTGGACGTTTTCCAGACCAATGGTGTGAAGGCCTAATAACACCCATCTTTAAATCTGGAGATAAGAATGACACCAATAACTACAGAGGAATTTGTGTCACAAGTTGTCTGAGCAAATTCTTCTGCATAATTCTTAATGAACGCCTAAATGGCTATGCTCAAGAAAATGACCTGGTCCACCCATCCCAAATTGGATTTCAATCTGGTCACAGAACTGCTGACCATATCTTCACTTTAAAAACACTTTTTGATAAACACATGAGCACAAACAGAAACGACAAAGTTTATGCGTGTTTTGTGGATTTTAAAAAAGCGTTCGACTCAGTATGGCATGAAGGCCTATTTTTTAAACTCCTTGAAAACAAAATTGATGGAAGTTTCTTTAGACTGATTAAAAGCCTCTATGCAAATTCGAAATGTGCAGTCAAGCTATCTAAATCAAGAACAGAATTCTTTTCATACTCTAGGGGTGTACGCCAAGGATGTGTACTAAGCCCAATTCTGTTTAATTTATACATTAATGAGCTAGCAACAATATTTGAAAATACTAACTCAGACCCATTTATCCTTCCAAACGACACTAAACTGAGTTGTCTTCTATATGCTGACGACTTAATAATATTATCAAAATCAAGATTTGGACTTAAAAAATGCCTTGATGAACTTCAAAACTGGTGTAATAAATGGCTGATGGAGGTAAACCTCAAGAAAACAAAAATCATGATCTTCAAAAAAGGGAATCCAAAAATGATTAAACCAAATTTTATGCTAAATACCAAAAATGTCGAAATAGTAAATGAATATTGCTATTTAGGTATTAAATTAAATTCAAATGGCACTTTCACACTGGCTCAAAAACAACTGAGCGAAAAAGCACTACACGCATTAGGCAACATACGAAGACACCTCAACCTACATTACCTTAATCCTAAATTAGCTATCAAGATATTTGAAAGCATAATATCACCCATACTCCTATACAACTCAGAGATATGGGGTGCTTATCTCAAAAATGATTTCAACAAATGGGATAAGTCACCAACTGAGAAGGCCCACCTACGGTTCTGTAAATTATACCTAGGTGTAGGAAAAAAAGCTAGCAATATGGCTTCGAGAGGAGAACTAGGAAAATTCCCTCTACAAATTAGTATATACAAACGATTATTCAACTATATAGCACACTTGAATTCATTACCTGAAACAGCAATTGCAAAACAAGCTTTCTTAATATCAAAAGACCTTTACTCGAATAATAAAATGTCCTTTTATAAAAATGCTATGGATATTTTAAAACACTACAAATGCCACTCGCAAATAGTGGATTTAGAATCAATATCTGCTCAATCATTAAATTCTATCATTGACACTGTTAAACAACGTTACATTACATTCTGGAAACACCAAATTGAACACTCGTCCAAATTATATTTCTACTCAACTTTCAAAAAGGAATACCAATTAGAAAAGTATCTTACCGTAATAAGAAACACAAACCAGAGGAGATCACTGACTCGATTCCGAATAAGCAATCACAAATTAATGATTGAATGTGGTAGATACCACAACATTCCCCGAGAAGAACGAATATGTAAGCTTTGTAAATCAAACGAAATAGAAAATGAGGAACACTTTCTTATTTCATGTGATGCCTATGACAATATTAGGCAAGACTTCCTCACTGTTCTCGCCAACAATACATACCAAAGAGAACAAAATGTATCAGTTGACATATTAAAGTCAACTGAAAATGAAACAATTCTAAAACTATCCAAGTTTGTTCTTTCCGGTTTCGAGCTAAGAGATAAACGCCTTGAGACCAGGGATGCTGAACACTAAAGTTCAATATTATCGTATTTGACCTCTATCTTGTAAATAGCTTCTTTAACTTATTGTAATCTTGTAATAGGTCGTATTTAGCCTGTAGTAGTTAACTTTAGTCTGTATGTTTAGTTATTGTAGTTAAAGCTTTAGCAATACCTGTAACTGTTGGTCATGCTAATAAAGTTATTATACCACATATAGCTAATATTGGGGGGGGGGGAGTAGCACCCCCCTGCACCCCCCCCCCCACACAAAATCCGTCTATGAACTTTCCAGTGATCTATACTGTAGCTAGCACTCTTTCTTTGTTGAGTAAAATTATCTGGTGTTAGATAGAATAAAATAAAGTACAGTAGGATGGCTCAGGGAAATCAAGGTCTGCTGACATTTATTGTAATCTGCAGTGTCAGAATAATATGAAATTAGTTTTCCATGAGTTCTATGTTCATGAGAATCTTTGGTTCAGAATTGGGTCATTCCACAAAACATCCATACCACCCCCACTGAAGAAATTGGAAGTTAGCCCCCCTACCCCCTTCGGATGTCCTAATACATTTGCCTATTATCAGAAATAATTTTTTCTCCCCTCCCCTCCGGACGGCAGAAATTTCCTCTGTGGGGGGAGTGTGGATCTTTTGTTGATAACAAAGGAAACCCAAATCCCGGGGCAGAGCAAGTGTACTATAGTTTGTCTTGTTTATTTTTTCTGGGGGGGGGGAGTGCATGGGGGGGGGGAGGTGCAGGCAGCTCACTTTTGCCTGCATGATCAATATGATATGTTATCATGCATAATTGTTAAGGAATAGGCAACTAATGCAAAATGCATGAGTATGCTGATTTTGTTGATAGCTTCATGCGAAGCAGCACAGAGTAGAACAACACACAGGTTAGAGGCCTGATACGATTCATATTCCTTTTTATAATAATATGAAAGGGCAGACAGACATTTGCATGCTTTAGATAAAACATTATTTCAAAACAGTTGGATGGTGTTGGCCAACATTGTGGGATGCGTATGAATGGGCCTTTAGGCTGGAGTTGAGCACATTATTATCTCAAATTATTTGGCTTTGCTGGGACCTTGGCTTCGGCCCGCTCCAACAACATCATGCCGCCATGCATATTAAAGCATAAAAATATGCGATATTTATATCAAGACATTATTAAGGTTCTAATTAACTGTCAACTTTTTGAAATATTATATTACAACACAATTCTTGTATATTAAAATATTGAAATACGTACCATTTTTATATGTTTTTCTTCAAAACTTGATTTGTCTTCTCAGTTGTTTTGTCGTTCTTGCCATTCGGTTGCAATACTTCATGTAAGCTGAAGATAATGGCTTCGTAGGTTTGGTAAATTTTGGGGTAGCATCTCTGGGGTAGCATTTGGTAACTGCTTTCTGGTCGATGCTGATTCTGTGACCGCTGGGATCTGTGGACCCACAAAAGGGACTCTCTGCATTTGTAAGTAAGGGGGTATCCCCCCCACCTAAGATTTCAAAATTTCCCATATTCGGACTATGGAAATCTGTTCGGAAATAAGAACTCGAAACGAGAAAAAAATTCGCAAATATCGGAATCAGTCAGATTTTGTCACTCTCCAAAGCATTAAACCAGATATGAGATTTGTATCCAGAAAACTGAATCCTATATTCAGAATTAAGTACGAAATTTCAATTTAATGTTACAAAAGTAGATTGTTCGCAACCTCGTACCCAGGGCATTTTGCTTTCCACTCAGCGAAAATGGGAAGCATTTTCGCTGAAAGGGAAGCAAATTGCCCTGGGTACGAGGTTGGATGGTTTGCTTACAGTATAGTTCAGATCATTGGAATGCCCACAAATGCGAATTTCGTTTTCCGAACTAGAATTACAAAATTCGAGAAACCTGTCATTGACTATGCGGAAATTGTATTCCAAAGTCGGTGGCGTAACTCCTTTGGGCGCCACCTGGCTCAGGGCAATGGGCGGGACCCCTATTCCAAACAAAGTTACGCCACTGCCCAAAGCTATTGCAATATATAAACTGAAAACCAGTTTGTAGAAAAACTCCTTTAATTCCACTGTCCAGTATTTTATAACTATTTCTTTAAATTTATGAGTATTTATCTCAGAAAATCAGATTAATTTTGTGCATGTGATTTTTTGTTTTGCATGGTGTCAACCTGGCCGGGAACATTTGTGGTCACGGCAACGCCATTTTCTGCACTTATGGGCATTGGGCAATGTGACTGCAGGGGCAAATCCGATTTCTGGTTGGGCACTTGTCCACTCCGTTATACTAGTTAAAATAAAAAAGGCTGTTTGCAAAACTAAAATATGATGTTGCACATTGCTGATGAACCAGTTAGTAGTTAGTAGTACTATATACTGCTGCCTATAAAACTATGTAATGTTTGATCAGCTGCGTGTGGCTTTTGGTGTACATATATTAGTAATTTTGAGACGATCTCTGGTTTTCTCTGGTCATTTTAATATGTTTATTTGTTTTCATGTTTTAAATGTTGTTCCCTCGATATTTTGTTTGTACAGACACAATATTTTTGCAATGTGAGAAACAAAACGCGTGCGTAACAAGTTTTCGGTCCGCGGACCGATTTTTAAGCGGGCCGAGACTACCTCCTGAGGAGGTCTTGGCCCGCTTAAAATTTTGGGCCCGCGGACCCTTGCGTTTACACGACAAAAATTAGGAGTGCCGTGCCCAAAAAAATGGGTCCGCGTGCCAAAATTTAAGCGTGCCGTGCCCAAAATGACTGTCGTGTAAACGGGGCTATTGTAAACAGTTAAAATAATCTAAAAATAAAATATATGTAAAATATTGTAAACTGTTAAAATAATCACAAGCAATAAGTGAAAACTACCAATTAAGTCTACTAAAACAGGAATTCATTTTTAACTTGAATGTGTTTAAAATAATTATTGCGATGTGCTTTTTGTGGTTTTGGGGGTACATGCATGTCTGTATGTATAACGAGGATAACTTTATAACGAGGATAACTTTATAACGAGGATAACTTTATAACGATGTTTACTTGACTACTTTAAACCCGCTTTTAATCCTGCAGAAAAGAGCTTTGCGCATCACAACTTTTTCAAAATCAGACGATCGAGCACTCAAGTCCGATATTTAAAACTCTCAACATGCTTAAAATTCATGATTTGGTATCTCAGAATTTTGCACTTTTCATGTATGAATATATTACCATCAGCTTTTGCCATCGGTACTTCAAAACTGTTTTGATAGCATAACAAACAATTCATAGTTATAACACAAGACTAGCATAAAAAAAGAGTCATATTATGTTCCTAAGGCCAGAAAAAATTAGGCCACGGACCTAATGCAAATGGAGTGAAACAAAGAACTTGGCTCATTAACATTAGTAATGTTCGGCACATGAAAAGTTCGACGTTTGACCCTGGCCATTTTTAAATTTAGGTTCCAGGTCCCAAAATATGGAATTCAATTGATGAGAGCTTTAAAAGTTCAACAAGCTTTACAAAATTTTTAAAAGGTGTAAGACGGTCACATCTTGACCAATATTGATATATTGTACTTGTTCAGGGGCCGCGGAACCGGGGGGGCAATGGGGGCATGTGCCCCCCCACTTTTCTTAAAAGTGAAAAAAGTGCCCTTTTTTCTGGGCTAAAATGCCCCATTTAAAAAACGAAAAAGTATTTCTTGAATAAACGCCCTCTTTTTCTGGAAAGAAAATGCCCTTTTCGCAGTAGTAAAGACTCTGTAAAGGCCATTTCCGACGTTAGAGAGACTCCATATTTTCAAAAATTTTCGTTCGGCTCGTGAACGTCATAAAATCGTTTGATTCTGGTCATAAACAAAAGTGCCCCTTTCGGTCAATGCCCCTCCACTTTCGAAATGCTTCCGCGGCCTCTGTACTTGTTTGCCAATCTTTAATAGATTGAAAAAGAAAGACAACAGTCATTTAAAATATTTGTGTGTGTAAGCCAATAATGTGCTGCATACATGTGTGTGTACAGTTTCTTTTTCTTACCACTACCCAGATCTGAAATATGTTTAAAAACTTTGAAATTTGCTTTCAGGCATTTTTAGCCCTATATGGTTATTGCCGAAAGCAAGTATCTTTAATAATTATCAAACACCCTAAATATTTTAAAATAATTTATGAAAAAAATGGCTACAAATAAAGATTATTGTATTGTATTGATAAGGCTCGCTTGTTGTAAAACATAGAATAGTCTAGGCTAAGTAATTATGTAGCGTAACATTTGACATAAAGCATTTGATCATATCCACTTACATGCATGTAAATTGAGGCTATAGAAATCTTAAATCTTAGAATTTTCCATAGATATCTTTATATATAAACTAGATAGTGCATCTAATTATTCTGCCATTCAAAAATTGAAGCCGTGATTGCAGACTCAGGATATTCCCATGAAATGAGAAGATTCGTATGTTTTCTATTTCTTAAAGTGCATATGACATGAAATTTCTTATTTTCTTCAATGAAAGAACTCTTTTTAAAGTAAACTAAAAAGAACTTAAAAGTTGTAGTGTAACTTGTTTTTTATTTTCTTGTTTTTATGGTTTGTTCACGAGATATTTCAATTTGTTGGATATGAAAATGAGTGTGAATATGTCCGCTAATTTATGACGTCACGTTGGTTGCAAGCTCTTCAAAATGGTTGAATATCACTGCTATCATCCAAGATGATAATTTCAAACTTCACTCACTGGTAAATGTGATGAAACACTAGAGAAAATTGTGAACTGATATCAATAATTTTTAGAGTTAATACATTTATAACTAGTGTAAGTTGAGCTTGCAACCAACATGACGTCATAAATTAGTGGACATATTCACATTCATTTACATATCAAACAGATTGAAATATCTCGGGAACAAACCATGAAAACAAGAAACTGAAAAATAAGTTACACTACAACTTAAAGAGTAATTCTTTCATTAGAAAAAGAAAATTAAAAAAAAAAATAAGAAATTTCATGTCATATGCACTTTAAACAGGGAACTTAAACATTAAGTTAAACCTATATTCCAAATACATTTTCAAATTATTCAAATGATGAAAGTTATTGTTTTTTAAGCGTTTATTAGCGAGTGGGAACCATAGATATCAAGATATCTATGGTGGGAACTACCAACATGGCCGCCACCTATTCAAATGGGGGTAACCGCTGGACAATTCACTTTACTTCTTTTTGGCTTCAATTTTACTAAAAGAGATGCGCTATCTAGTGTATATATGATATCTATGGAATTTTCACATTAAATTAGTTTCTGTAGTAAATCACTTACAGACGTCCTATTATTATAGAGTTCTATACGAGTATATAAATCAAAGCATAATAATTATATATACAATTACTGAAAGTAAACTGATCATGGAGTATTGAATCGTCACTAATTATTCATCAAAACTATATCGCACCACGATTTCTCCGCAACAAGGATTGTATGTTTATTTATACACGCCATTAGTGTGACGAGTGTGTAGCATGGTTATCTGACAAAATAAAACGAAGCAAAATTAGTACAAGCAAAGAAGAAAGGGGTTTAACTTCATTTCTTCAGTAAATATTTACGTTATTGCGCGTTGAACGCTCTTATACTCATACAATTTGGGGTTGCCTTGGGGGGGTTTTATTAAGCATAAAAAATACTGTAAAGAAAAGGGTTAATGGGCTATATACCAAGTCATGGGTGACGTCGTGAATAATTATCATAATCGACAAAGCAACTTTATTATTTAATATATATTAATTACGTCATCAATATAAACTATAAGGTTTATTGTAGGTTTTGGTTAAGTCTTTGAATCCTAAGGTCTTTAGGTTTCTAGGTCTTTGGGTTTCTAGGTCTTATGTTTTTGGTCTTTATCTCCGCTGATCGTCTGAGTGTATGTTCCCCAACCAGATCCAACAATAAAGAAACTTTTGAAATTTTCCCTATTGTCTATCGGAGCAAAGTTGAGTTTTATCGCAGGGTTACCAATAGCAAGAATGTCCCATGTCTAAACAGAAGGTAATGTACAATAAGAAAACGACATTGCATGTAATGCTGAAGAGTTGGGGCTAATCTTCCTTTTTTTGCAGCAAAAAGCTAAAATGCGAAAACAAAGTGAAACCATGCAGATATAGATATATATATATATATATATATATATATATATATATATATATATATATATATATATATATATATATATATATATATATATATATATATATATATATATATATATATATATATATATATATATATATATATATATATATAATTAACAATTATACCATGAGCTCGAGTCGTATATGAGCTGATAGCCGACGAGGTGCGTAGCACCGAGTCGGCTATCAGCCATATACGACGAGAGCGAATGGTATAATTGTTTTATAATATAGTCTAATATAGTCATTAACTGAAGCAGCAATTAATTATTCACTGTTACAATGTGTTGACAATTTGTTCGGCCAAAAACCGCTTGAAAATTTGAAATACTTTTGTTTTACAACTCGAAGACGAAGTGAAAGAAATGGTTTTAGAACCTCTATATCTCACAGGAAAGCTCAGATATATTATACAGATGTTTGGTACTATAGTAAGTGCTTGTTGACTGCAAATTCATTTGTCGTTCATGGCAAACTTTTCTGAACAATTTATATTCTCAATGAACATGTTTTTTCGCTGTTGTTTCGGTATTAATTCTTTGAAAAACTTGATTTTTAAACTAACTTCTACGTAATAAATGTATTTTGCTAACCTGTCAATTTTTTTTGAGAGTTTTTCCTTGTACTATTATGTTTTTCAAAGCGAATATTTTCCTTTTTCTGCTTCGCAAAACTCATGTAGTTTTTGGACCGCCATCTTGTTTTTCGCTACTCGCCGTATATGAGCTGATATACGGCGAGTAATTCAACCAATCAGATTGCAGAACAGCTCATATACGGTGGATGACTATATTATAAATATATATATATACAACAAGTGTACACACTCTGCTCGGCAGACAAATCATAGATAATATACAAACAGGTTATAACACGTACTGCCACGACTCCAAGTGAAATTATTTAATAAAAAAATATATATAGCTTTAAAGCTATATATATATATATTTATTAAATAATTTCACTTGGAGTCGTGGCAGTGTTATAACCTGTTTGTATATTATATATATATATATATATATATATATATATATATATATATATATATATATATATATATATATATATATATATATATAATATATATATATATATATACCGGGTGTCCCAAACCAAACTCCGGTTTGATTCGTAATAACTTCTAAACGAGTGAAGCTATTAAGCTGAATTAAATTTCATTAGATAGAGGGAAGGTTAACGTAGATTTTGGTATATTACAGTTGTATTTTACTTAAAAATTCACGGAGATAGTAATGTTCAAAATCGGTAGCATATTTCTGGATGTGTCTAAAATATGCAAAAAACGACGTATCAAATATTAATCAAGCTTTGCTCGACTGAAACACGCACTATTAGCAGTAAATAAATGACACTTGACAAATTGTTTATTATGAGACCAAGTTATTATTACTTACAAAATACAAGGAAGATTTATTCGTTCGGAATCGCGTACGTGTTGCCTAGCCCGTGACACCATTGCGTCCAAGGAGTCATGGATCATTCGTTGTTCTAGATTACGGCATGCTGTCACAATTGATTTGCGAAGCTCTTCTAAATTCTGCGGTTGCTGCAGATGGTGTGGTACATTCCAAATTTGCTGCTAAGGTATCCCCAAAGAAAAAAGTCGCATATTGCCAGGTCTGGAGAGCGAGGGGGCCATGGCCAATCCCCACGTTTGCTCATGGACCAAGAACAACGCCTGCTCGAGTAAGACCAACCCATACCATTACTTGATTACTTGAGCAAACTCAACGTAATGGTCTGTCTATGACCGTTTCCATAGGGTGCATACTTGATAACATTTCTCGTATTTACTTCTGAGTTTAAACTAAAGACTACTTCGTCAGATACAATCAACTTATCAAGAAATTGCGGATTCTGTTCAACTGTATCGACGAGTCGGTTACAAAATGCCATCCGTTGTACCGGATCACCTTCCCTTTACTTCTGAGTTCTGCCGTATTGAAATGTTCAAGATTGCGGAATAAAAACTAGCAAAGTAATTGTTCGAATGTGTGCGGGACGGTGTCGTCAGATACTGTCCATAGTTGTGCCGATGATTTTTGATGAGACACAGCTCTCCAATGAGAGGTAATGAGGTACGCTTCGAGGTTCGTACTTTTATGCAATGAAACTAACGGAAAATGTATTATTTCCCTTTGCTACAAATTATCATATTTAAAAATAGAGAAAACTAAGTTTTATCGCGGGATTTGCTAATAAATCGGTAATCGCTACAGAGAAACAGAACAAATTACAGTAAATCACAACAAACTACAGAAGCGAAGGTGGGACACTTTTTGTATTTTCACTGTAATATCATATTCATACCATCAATATTCATATTCATACTACTTCAGAACCCACTATCCACTCCCAATAAATACTGTACCTCTTCTCCATTGGCCGGGATTTCTCTGCAACAACTAATTGCTCCAATCCATGTCTTTGATTCCTATATAGGAAAAGGCAAATGCACAGGAAATACACATTTTTTTGTTTCATTGTTAGGTTCATAAGTAGCCTCCTCCGCAAGATTTTGCCCGCTAATCTAAAAGCGATGTCTGCGCAGGAGGCTACTTCATAAGTTATCGCATGAAGTTCAATTGAATTTCACTTAACTAGAAAAAAAACATTTTCCTCGTTGCGTTCAACATAAACAAAAGAAAGGTTCAATACTCCAGTTCGTGGTTTGGTCTGAACCTCTTGAGCGAGGAACCTTTGGCAGATTAGTATAATTAGCAGGGAATTTGACTTCCACTAGCGCTATCGTTACGGAACCATTAACCAATCAGATGCGTTTGATATCAATGATTAACCAATCAGATGCGTACTGTGAAGCCAGTGAGAAGTAGTGGTATTCAAATCGGAACCTCTCCAGTAGACTCGACAGATCACAGTTATCAATATATAGACAATTCCAGCTATAGACTAATTTTTTGAGCCGAAAGTGGTTATTTTTACCGCGCGTAATACAAAAATACTCAAAATTTGCCAATTTCACAGGGCTATATTTTCCGTATTTTACAACATTTCGCAACCAAACTTTGCAATTTTACTCATTTTAGGATGCTCTTTTGAGCTATAATGATATATTTCGTCTTTCTTGTCTAGATAAAAAATTAGTCCATAGCTGGAATTGTCTAATGAAGTATACGATACCCCATAAATCAGCGCTGTATAGCACTGGCATGTTCTTTCAAAAGCCGCTTTTATTTTTGTCCTGGAAAAGTCCAATCAAATAATTAACGCTATCTTACATAAATATACTTTAACTGATCCGACTAGAGTTTACAAAGTCCATAGCTAGAAACATCGAAGTATTTCAACCTTTTCCGGTGGATTGTGCACAAACAATGCTCACAGAAACTCACATCAGACATTCCCAGTGCTCCTTGTCCAGGCAGCCCAGCAGACGTAAATTTGTGCCACATTGACTCGAGTTCAGCATCAGTGAATTGCAACAAGCATCCATTGGCATCCCCACTCTTGTTAAATACTAAAGGGTAAATTACGAAAGCCGGGTAGTGACTTCAAACTTCGGACTTCAAAAGTCTAAACTGGTTTGAAGTCTGAAATTCGAAGTCACTACCCCGCTTTCATACTAAGGGAGGACGGCCGGGACAGGCTGCCACCCAAGGCGGGCCAGGGAGGACGGTCCGCCAGGGAGGACGGTCCGCCAGGGAGGACGGTCCGCCAGGGAGGACGGTCCGCCAGGGAGGATGGCCCGCCAAGGAAGATGGCCCACCAAGGAAGATGGCCCGCCAGGGAGGACTGCCCGCCAAGCAGGACTGCCCGCCAGAGGGGACTGCCCGCCAGAGAGGACTGCCCGCCAGGGAGGACTGCCCGCCAGGGAGGACTGCCCGCCAGGGAGGACTGCCCGCCAGGGAGGACTGCCCGCCAGGGAGGACTGCCCGCCAGGGAGGACTGCCCGCCAGGGAGGACTGCCCGCCAGGGAGGACTGCCCGCCAGGGAGGACGGTCCGCCAGGGAGGACGGTCCGCCAGGGAGGATGGTCCACCAGGGAGGATGGTCCACCAGGGAGGATGGCCCACCAGGGAGGACTGCCTGCCAGGGAGGACGGCCCACCAAGGAGGATGGCCCGCCAGGGAGGACTGCCCGCCAAGGAGGACTGCCCGCCTGGGAGGATGGTCCACCAGGGAGGATGGCCCACCAAGGAGGATGGCCCACCAAGGAGGATGGCCCGCCAGGGAGGACTGCCCGCCAAGGAGGACTGCCCGCCAGGGAGGACGGTCCGCCAGGGAGGA